TACTGCCAGGTTGCCCAGGCCATAGCAGGTGAGTTTTCTTGAGGAATTCACAACCGGAGCCTTTGGATACACAACGCCTGGGGTGGTGTGTAAAAACCGCAATCCATTGGAGGCCGGTGTCCAGCTCATCGGGTCATACACCCTTCGGACAGAGTCAGACGTCCAAGGTGCCCAACACACCTCGAATCCCAAACGAACCGGTGAACATTCCCACAACCAAGAAGTTGTGTGTGTGTGTGTGTGTGTGTGTGTGTGGTTCGTATATCTCCTCATGATTGGTTTCGAATCAGAGTTTTGGACTAACTCCCATAGGTGAACTGCCAGTGGTCCACCAACCCGGGTTATAATCCCCGGATGTCGGCTTTTTGTCCTTTTACTTTGATGGGAAAACACCTCCGCCGCGAGGAAGCAGTGAGTAGGGCTTCCTCGGTAGAATTGGCTATTTTCGAGACGCTTGGTTGTATGGGAGCATTTCGCGCGGTGCAAGAGAAGGATAACCAACCGCAACGCTAGACACCCACCCCCGACCATACTCAGAGGCTTTTGGAGGCATAATCTGTTACTCACTTGTACGAACGATTAAATAGTTTCATCCACGATCGAAATTTGATTTTTTCATGTTCCACCACCAGACAGTTTCCATCAGTGCACGACACAGCCAACTGACCGATATATATCCATACGTGCTCATGATCTTTATGACTAATCTGTTGTTGTTTGTTTCCAGTCTGTGTTCTCACTTTCTTGACCTTTGTTCTTTTGCCATCCGACCCGGTTAGGAATGGATTGTCGGTCAGTTGTGTGAGAGCGTTCGACCATTACACCCCCTTCTGCCGGATTTGATCGAGGCACATATTGTGCACGCATTCGGTGCATCCCCAACCAGTTTGCCCCCGGCAGATTCCGCATTCGCCTCACCCAGCCTGGTGACCGCGCTCATTACCGAGCAAGAACTGATGAACCAGTTCGGTCGAACCGATGAGCTGGCTATTGCGCGAATCTGTGCTCCCGCACCCGAGCACTCTCACCCCGATCCCCGATCTGATCTGTTCGTTCGTCCGGTCCCCACTGATTTGACCCCGGCACTGCTGTTTCTCTACTACGCATTGTTTGTATACGATTATCAATTAAATCTTCGAATCTCAACGAATCGACGTAAGTTTTTTTTTTATTCGTTGTCCGATCCGTACGCATATCATCAAAATGTAACCGTCGATTGTCTGAATTATTGGCACCATTTCCCTGACCCTTAGCTATTTTCAATAACAATAATAGTATTATTGCTATCTGTATATCTCCCTCAATAATGGGCTTATAGTTGATTGCATACCGAACAACAGGAAAAAGTTTACAAGCCCGGTTGCCTTTAGCATTTTGCGTCCCACTGAAAACCACTCAGCGAGCTCTACGTTCCCAATTGAAAAAAGTGGGACAGTGTAAATATACGTACGCATATCCATCGGTCAGATTCACTCCCCCGTATTTCTTCTGTTGTGGACACCCGATGCAAATTCATGTAAGGTGATAGATGTATTGGTCTCATTGTTTACAGTACTTCGTGGTGGCCCAGTGGTTGTGTTGCTGTCGCAGGCGTGCTTTGGACCCTATGGTCCGAGGTTCAAGACCCGTCACCGCCACCCAACTTTGGTGGTAGTCAGCTTTACTGTCGTCTGGTTCTCTATCCTGCCTCACCGAGCGGGGTCTTATGTGGTTCGCCACGCCAAGTCCCGGGACTTGGGCTACCGGTTACCATTATTGAATAGCAGGTCCGTGTGACGGGTTTACCCCGTCTGCTGTTCATCACACTATATATAGTGTGTGATACCAAAATATTTGGTTAAACGGGACACTGATCAGACATTGTCATTCTTTGTCCGAGAAATGCGGGTTTTACTTTTCATTAGTTTCAATGTACCAATCGTCGTCGGATCTCTGTAAGTTACTCATTTGTTTGAATCAATTACGCACGCAAGTGTTTTCGTAGACCGGAAAGATCCCGGCCACTTGTCCTCACTTTGACGCACGTTTCAGTTCAAATGCACCCGACCGAGTGGTGCCGTTTGTTTGTCCGTTTAGCTTGCTAACCTACTTCACTTCATGATTGGGCTACGTGACTGTTGCGAATTGAGACCTAAAAGGTCACATCATAATCGAACAGTTTATCTTATCTGGATTTACGGTTGACTGATCACCTCACGCTTGAACGTTTCGGTCCAAACAAATTTCACATTCCTCCCAAATTATCATAATGAATTCTGGTCACCGATCCCCGTCCGGACTGTGCCATTTAATTTTCTTTTAGCCCCTCCCTCGTCTCCGCCATTCCTTATACCGAATATCGTTACTCAGCCAACGGAACAAATTTGACCAATTTCCTATCCCCACCCTGTCCGGGGTGCATTTTCTTTGTCAACAAGTCAAGTATCGTCAAGTTGCTTCGGTTGCATTTATCTGTCTACTGTGTTCGGTGCGATGTTCAACGGGGTTAGTTACTCCTCCCCTCAAGGTCATCAAGTGGAATTATCTGCGTGTGTGTGTGTGTGTGTGTGTGCGTTTATGCGCTCCGTCATAAATATTGTCGAGTTTCTAATCGCACTCGCATCGCGTATCGGTGATCTGACCGCCCCATTGCTTCGCATAATCAGGTCATCGCATTTCACCGCCCCTCTCGCCTTTGCACAGAGTGCACTGAGTCAGATTAACAGCAGAATGATGGCCGGATGGCTTATGCGGTCTACCTTGTCCGACCTATCCACTAATACCCACTAGCTTATTTTCATTCTCATCTCGTTGGTGGTTTGTCTCGGTTTAATCCACGAAGGTTGCCGTTTGCATCGGTGAATAATCCGTTTTAGGCTTCGATACAAATGTCCGGTTTGAATGACAAGATTGCAGTAATAATCGGTAAACAGCCTGAATCCGAAGCAATTAGCCTACGGCTTTCGAAACCAAAGCTCTGTCTATGCAAACAGGGTTATTTCAAGTGTTTCAGCTTGAGCTATCTGTGATCGACCGTCGATTGCATTACCCCCAAATGGGTCTTTACTTCGGGTGAACAAAACACTTAGGTATAACACAAACGTGTACGTGAAACAATGGTTTCCGCCAACGGTAACTCTGTAAACTTTTCGGTTAGTACTCACTGGATTTTGACTTTTCAGTTTACACAGTTAATAATAATGTGTTTTCGTTCACCGGTTTTGGTTGCCGTCTTTCGGTCCTCCATTTACTCGGTGATTGATGACGTAGTAAATCTATCGGTGGTTTGAACCCCGCAGCCTGACTTTGGTAGTTAGGAACGTCGTTGTCGTTCAGCTCAGCACCACGCCTAACTGTAGTACTGCCTTATTAGGTTCACCGCTTCAAATCACGTGGCCCTAGGCTTATGGTTTGCATCTGTAATCATTCGATTCTTTCCAAATCAAACCAAAGGGTGAAGTCTCGACAACTTACAAATTTGTACAGTGGATATATATATATATATATATAGCGATAAAAAACAGAGATAAATTCGACTTTATATTCCAAGAAAACATTCCAATGCAAGATTCGTTCTTCAAGGATGATTAAATTTGTCGTACCAAGAGATGGGTCAGGNGACACCAGTTCTCCTTGGAGAGGTGCATACAGAAAGGAGCTGATATTTGCAGGGCTGAAAAATGGTTTTCTTGGGTTGGAGTTGAGTATATGCTGTAGACGTTAGGCTAGTCCTGCTCTACGAGGCAGAAACTTGGCCATTGTGCGAATAGGATAGATTGTTGGTGACTAACGGACTAACAATGCTGAGGTCAGGCGTAGAGTTTTAGGCAGTCGCGGTTGTCCACTGGAGCAAGTGATCGACCTCCATAGATTACGCTGGTTGAGGCATGTTTTACGCATGTCACCAGATAGGTTGCCACGGTGAGCGATTTTTTCCGATGCAGGAAGCGGCTGATAAAAAGTCAAGGGCGGTCAAATTAAGACCTGGTATTAGAGTATAAAAACCCTAACATGGAGACTCCATCATATAGGTCGCAATAAGCTCCCAGGATGGGCGCTCCGAAATCATGGTAATCGGTGGTCGGGGAAGCTGAGTGATATAGCTGGATGGCACTCGTGCATCTACTCATCATTCTTTAACTCCAGTCTAAATAAATTCTCTGTCTTTCACTTGAATTTACTCTCAACATTTCAGTCTTCATTCTGCACCCAAAACCGGCGCATGAAAATGCATGGTTACCAATTGTGAAAACTTGACTGCAAGTGCAAGGTTGCACAGGTAGCAACAAAACTGCACCTTGACGTGGTGCGATGGTTATGCGCCTCTATGACCCAACGAGCTACACAGGATGGCTTTTACCGAGCCAAAGATCTAATCATGCCTGGAAGTTCAATGGGTAGAGGTCAGACGAAGTCCAGTCTCCTAGTCCTCCAGGTTGGGGGTTCGACTTGAGTCGGCGTCTCAGTCGATAAAACGTGTTGGAGGAATNAGGAATAATTGATCCAAGTTAATGGGCCTCCAATCCGCCTTAACCGCTGCCTTGCGATTAGGTTCTTGTCAGAACTAAAGGCTTTGGTTGAAAACCCTAATCGTTCTCCTGCTTAGTGGCTGGACGCCCTGGCAGTATCCGTCCCTAAAGCTCCAATGAACACACAAACAAAAAATAATTTCATTCTTCATTTGTTGTCGCGCAGGGTAATCAGGACCGCGCTACCGATTGCATCGAGCGGGGTGGGTAGTGATAAGTGGGCTACTGCTCAGATATCCCAACCTTTGCTTAAGTCTGTCTTCCGTACCCAACCTGATCCCTTTACCCCTTCTTCCGACCCGTAATATTCCCTCGGACAACTTGGTCGTCTCTCGCCAAAGCCTTTTGCCAAATAGCACTGTAACTAGTTTTCCTGTAAATAAAGTGCAGACTCTGAA